AAGGAAGGGAAGAAAGAAGGAAGGAAAAAAGGAGGTGGTAGAAGAGGAGGAGAGGGGAAACAAAAGAAAAAAGAAAAGAAGAAAGGAGGGGAGAGAAAGAGAGAGCAAAAAGACCCACCAATTGATTGGTCATAAGTTCCTGGATTTCAGTTCAGTGCTTGGACTTTTAACCCCAGAACTTAGTTGCATTTCAGTAATTAAAGATCAAGCCATTTCTGCACTAGCTCCTTTCTTCAGTGCTGAAATCCTGTCCTCCCTCATTCCTAAACATAATACACACCAGTGTGTGGCGGAGGGTGTTAGCTTACCAGAGCGCCATTATCCCCCGAACCTCTGCCAAACAGGCCACTTTATACGGGTGTTCTTACTGGAGCAGCCAGCTTATTTGGGTCCAGAGGTAAGAGCACAAAAACAGACATCAGCAGTTCAGGAGGGACTTCCTGTACCCACTTAGGAGCTGTGCCCTGTCACTGCCAACACCAGCAACAAGAACTGCTGCGACTGAAAGCTGCGGCCTGAAATGGGGCCAGCTTTGGAAATCAGTGCTGAGCTCCTTCCTGTAACAACAGATCGCTATGTCTCCTGGAGTGGACTGTATTGTTTTACCTGCTCCCTTGGCGCTAGAAATGTGTGCTTCCCCACCAAAAAAACTTTTAAGAACAATTATGAGAATTAATATTAAACTTTTGTTTCAAAGGAGCCAGGCAATTAGAAGAGATCAGTTCTTCCAAATATGTTACAAGACCCATTATAAATAGGGTAGGAACATGAGTGTACCATGGGGACAATTTAATCTCTCTCTCTCCCTGGCCAAGCCACCACTAGAGTCATTCATTTTCTGTTATTGTCTTTCTCAGTTGTTTGTGTCTCTGGCTTTATGAAACCCTATGTGAAGACTGCTTGTTCACACTATTTAGTTGGCATTTGTAGTTCTCCTTTACAGTCCCAATGCACCTTTTACACCTAAGTAATATTTGTTTCTGTGTTGAGAGGGAAAAACCCAGGAGGCACATGAAGAACACAAGTCCTGAGTCTGTCGCTAGCCTAAAGACACGTGTTTGGTATATCTGATTCTGTGTCTAGCTGGAAAAGCAGGCAAGGAGAGCCATTTCTGGGCTTTCTGGCCAACAAAACAAGGGATTATGCCAGAGATTGGCTGGGATGCTGGTTTTTTGGTCACCTTGTAAAGGAATAACCAAAAACCACATTTGAACAAGATTCAGCACACATTCAGAACTTCAAAAACAAAAAAACTAGGGGCTGGGGATTTAGCTCAATGGTACAGCACCTGCCTGGCAAGCTCCAGGTCGTGAGTTGGATTCCTGGTACCTGAAAAAAAAACAAAAAACAAAAACAAAAACAAAAAGCTTACTCAGGTTAGACGTGCCCAAATGCTGCAACAATCTCAACAAAACTTGGCTAGTAAACTGCTGTTCTATGGGACCAAAGGCCTCTGGAGAAAGTTCCTAATTCTTTGTTTGTTTGTTTGTTTTTCCAGTACCGGGAATTGAACTCATGACCTTGCGCTTGCCAGGCAGGTGCTGTGCCGCTGAGCTAAATCCCCAGCCCTGAAAGTTCCTAATTCTTGTAAAGAAAATATGAATAAACTTCTCACTTTCCTGAAAATATAAGAACTCACAAAACCTCCAGGCACTGTTACTAGGCCCTTGCAATCTTCTCCCCCAGGTAACAAACATAAAATCAACATCTTCATCTTTACTGTTGCCTTGACCGCTCTGATTGTTCCTAGGAGGTAAGGAGTTATTTGTCAATGAGCAGTGACCCAAAAAGATTTGAGAAATGCCACCTCAGGAAATCATAAATGTTGTTTTTTAAGAGGTTTCTGATAAAGGGATGAGTCAAAGAGATGAATAGGGCCCACATTGGGTGAGATGAGGAAGCATAATGCTTCTCTCTTCTCACAGGTTTATCGTCTTGCTCAGATCTTGTGCAAGACTTCCTGAGCCACCATCCCGGGTTTAATGGTACCCAGCTGTTGTTCCATACCTGTGTCTTGCCCCCGGTGCTCTCCTGGACAGCTGTGCGGGAAAGGGCAGTGGTGGCCACAAAACAAGAGAAGAATCCAGAAAAGATGTTGCTGATCCCAAAGGCAATGAATTCCTAGGGGAGAGACTGGGTGACCATAATGCTCCAAATAGAATCTTTGCAAGTCTCTCACCAGTGTTTAAAGAAGCAGGTTAAAGAAAACTTCCAAACTCTCCCTGCCTGATAGTCCAACTTAATTTTTACTATAAAAAGTACCTGGGGATCTTATAAAACGTCAGGAGTTTGGGCTTCATAGAACCTAAGAGAGACCTCACTGCTGTCAGTTGTTTTTAAGGTTGACAAGAAACAATATCTCAAGATCCTTTGTTAAAATGTTTTTTTTTTCCCATGGAGATTCCTCAAAAAACTAAAATCCCATTGGACCTGACTATTCCCCCTTCTAGGTACCTTCCCAAAAGAGTTAAAGACATCATATTACAGTGATACATGCATACCCATGTTAATAGCAACACATTTCATAATAGCTAAACCTTGAAAGTGGCCTATATGTCCGTGAATAGATGAATAAATAAAGAAAATGTGGCATTTATACACAAACTCAGCCCTACTCTGCCATAAAGAAAGATAAGTGTGAGTCATTTGCATCTTACAGACCATAAGGTGAAGTGAAATAAATCAGGCACATGAGCTTCAATATCACACGGTTTCACCTATATGAGAAACCTGAAGTATAAATAATTTAAAGAGCAAAAATAAAAGATAGATAATAGAAAATAGGGAGATCGATCTTTGGCAAATGGGAAGGGGACCTAGAAATAAAGAGGTGAGGGGAATGAGAAATAAAAAGAGTTAAGATGTGTTATATATATGTAAAAAAAAAAATGCTTTTTCACTGCCTGGTGAGTGGTATATCTGCAGGTCTCACATGAAACATTTTTCTGTGGTTCAGTATTTGCTATGAAGTACATTACAACTAGCTAAGCTTTTACACTGTGTGATTTTTTGTTTTTGTTTTTGTTTTTGGTTTTTCTCCGGTACCGGGAACCGAACTCACGACCTTGCGCTTGCCAGGCAGGTGCTTTTGCCATTGAGCTAAATCCCCAGCCCCTTACACTGTGTGATTGCTAGTCCTTTGGCTGTGGTCATTGCTGTGCTGTTCTCACAATCATACAGTAACAGACTTGCAGATTTCCAAGCAGTGTAAAAGTGCCTCACCTGCCAATGTATCATATGCCTACAAAAATTACTCATATAAATAAATTGCAGTTAACTGTCTAAGTATAAAGTGGTGACAGCTACTATTAATATCTGTTGCACTGTTTTGTCATATTACAGCTGTCATTTAAAAAATTACCATGAGATGCTGAGTTACCTGAACAATTCCTATTCTGACCTAATATGTTAACTTTGAATACTGTTTATACCCTGACTGAATTAGCTGTACTTAAAACTCGGATTATTTCAATTTATTTCTTAAGAAGCAAAGTGACAGTGTGAATATTTCAAAATAATTTCTAATTAGCAAGCACAAGAAGAAAACCAACTAAGGACTGGTAGAACAAACCAAACTTTTCTTTAGGTGACACCCCAAATTTTTCCCATTTATTTATTTATTTTTTCATGTTTTCATCCCTATAAACCAGTTCAGCAGATGGATGACCATACCTGGTTCCCATCAATGGTGTAATCATGTTTGGTGGCATACACTTTCCCCACAGACACTGCAATAGCATAAGCCACCACAGCAATGGAAAACGATGCGGTCAGCATCTCGGAAAACTTAGTCACAGGTGGAAGTACAGGAGGCAAAAACCTAGTGAGTTTTTAAATGAAAAATACTGTGAGTTTTTAAATGAAAAATACTGTGAAGAATCAAATACTGATTTGATTCTTCTTTCCCCACATCACCAAATGCTATATCCCCTCAGCCTCGTGTGAGACATAAACGAACATGATTCAAGAGAACGAAAAGTATGTCAGGGCCCTGAATGATAGCATCTGCTCTGATGCTTTTTCATTAGAAGTTAGTGATATCTCTGATGTGAATAAATCTATTGTTACTGATTCTTTAAAGCCGTACAACTCCATCCATGCCACTTCACACACTAGGGTGGCTCCTTACAGAGTTTCATTCTAATGTGAACTTAAAAGATAACGTAGCCATTGTATGAGGTTTACTTTGTATAAAAGCATGTCCATTCTGTTAAAGACACAGAGACCACATAATAATGCTAAAAGAGCTCAGTGGAAAGTTGTCAAGAGCCATGACATGTAAAATCTTCTTGAGGCTAAAAGAGATTACATTTGTTGCATTAGCAGAGTGCTCCACACTGACTAAAATATCCTGATGATTGTACGGTCAAATAATTATTGTTTGACAAAACCAAAGCTTCTCTGAAAACTATCAAAGAAATAAGTCAGGCACACACCTGTAATCCCAGCACCTGGAAGGCTGAAGCAGAAGGATCACCATGAGTTCGGGGCCTGCCTGAACTACATCGTGGGTTCAAGGCCAGCCTGAACTGCATAGTGACACCTGTCTCAGACAAACCAACAAACAAGAAGAGCCTTTAAAAAGCATCCAAGAAAAACCTCTGATTGTGTTGATACCCATCTGCCCTACATCCTTCTCTGTATCACATTTTCAAAATACAACTGCAAAGCCCATGACTTAAAAGCAGTGGCAGGAAACACAGCAACAAAGAGGATATCTGGCATTGCAAGCAGAGGACCCATTACCAGTGTGCTAAGGAATGAGGCAGGAGAAAGTACAGGGACTAAAATTTAGAGGACAGAACAGTCTTCTTGTTATGGGTTAAAACAGATGTGTGCAGGCTGGGGATATAGCTCAGCAGAAGTACTGAGTTCGATTCCCTGTACCCGCCCCCCCCAAAAAAAAAAACCAGATGCATGCACATGAACACAAAAAAACATGATAACAGAAGAGTGAAACAGAAGCCAGTGCTGAGTGAAGACTTGACACATTAAGAACTGCAGGATAAGGATCAGTTGCATAAGGAGAAGGGCAGGTTGTGACTGGCTCTATTAGAGGCTACTACTGGTGAGAGAATGAGGGCTCCCCGGGTGAGTGAATACTAGTGCCCAGTAGAATAGAAAGAGACTGCGCATTTTTCCAGGGAGGAAGTAGAAAGAAGAACATGGAGTAACAGTTTTTGGCTGTCCAGAGGAACACTGTTACTGGGGACTAGGCAATCCTAACATACAGTCCTGATCTTGAAAAGGATGAAAGGAAGCTTCTAACAGCAGCCTGACTGTAGGAGCAAAGTAGGTTGGATCAAAAGGTGCAATATCACTGCCTCTCTTTGTTCCTCTTCCTCTCAAGGTATTGCCTTGCTGTCTTGCAATCTGTCCACACCACCCTTTCCTTCTCAGGTCTGCTAATATCATTAGAGTTGTTTCTGTGCCACCAAGTGAGATCAGATAACAAAGGCCTTTTTTGTGGCTTGTTTATAATGACACAGGCTTTTACCCCTTCAACAAATATTTTCTGGGAGCCTCACTATGAGGTAGATACTAGGCTAGGGGGACAGAGCTGAGCAATACAAAACAGGTCCCAGCTCTTGTGGAGGAGCTTATGGTGCTCAAGGTCAGGCAGGTTAAGCAGCTGATTGAGGTGACCAAGTGATCTGTCAGAGGATTCAACATCATTAAACCTGAAAGTGAGAGGTTAGAGACCCATACTTAGGAGGAGAGGGCTAGGCCAGTCAATTTAGGGCAGCAGAAGTGAGTTCCCCAAAATAATGAATAGAATGTGGATTCATGGCTAAGTGCTGCGGGCCACCTATAACTCCATCTGTATTAAGAAGCCTAACAAAAGGGATCTCTGAAATATATTTTTATGTAATTGTTTATAACTACTCAATTGTTATGGTAAAAACATTCAAGTAGTCATATTGTATCTTTTATCTTTAAATTCCTCCCAGATTTATAATTTACGACCACAAGGTTGATACTGTAATGTGGAGTTTTTCAAATTGACTTGATCAGAAGAATTACTTAAAGTGCTTTTGAAAATAACCCCCAGGCCCGTCCCCTGGAAAGCATGACTGAATAGATGTGGGGTGGGATCTGGAAACTGTTTTAAAACAGGTCTCAAAATTCTTGCAAAAAAATAAGCTTGGGAAACGGTAGTATGTAACTTAAGAACCATGCAGCCAGTTATCATTTTTCAAATGTTTTGGAACTGATACTAGAATTGTAAGGTTGATCAAATGGAAGATAGTTGGTGTCCTATGTGATGAGCACTAGGAATGAAGTGCCTGAGGAATTTCTATTAAGAACATGAAAACCCAAAGACCAGTACCAGCCCCTCTGCTGGTATGAGGGAGGGAAATCTAGTACACTGGTTAACAGCAAGTCTCACCATAAATGAAATCAGTTAATCTTACAAGTGAACTTCCTTTTTAACCCCGTATGATGACATTATAATGTAAGGCACTTCGCCCATTCTGCACACTTTATGAGGGCTCTTCCTGCCAGTTCACAAGCTTGAATTGATGTTTTGGCTGCTGAATTACCTCTGTCCTATTGGAGAACTCCCCTCGGGTCACACAGCTAGACTGACAGAGATGGGACCTTGGTTTTTTGTCATCCAAAAACTACTAAGTATATAAAAACCTCAAATTGGAGATAACGCAAATGCACATAGGTACAAAAGACATAATTATTATCTTATCTAAAAGATGAAGAATTTAGGCCAGCTGCCTCTGCTTTCTTAAGCAGATTGTTCACAGTGCAAAAAGAGTTACTAATCACAGCAGCATATGTTATATTATAATTATCCATTTGAGTTTAAATTAGTAGTCTGGTGTTAAATGTACACGTCCTGCCACATTTTGAGAAAATGAAGGAAACAGAGCTCATAGGAGCTGCTTTTAAACAAATGGCTTGAACTTTCTCTGCACATATACTCTTTGTATGATGCTTTGCACAAATGGGCATTTAAGATCACGTGCAAATGAGACTACTGGTGAAGTGAAGCTTATAATAAAAGATTTCATTAAGTAGAAAGGACTGGCTTAATATATCAGTATTACTTAAAAGGAACGACATACTCACCCGCTTGGGATGGATTTAACAATACCAGCATTATACTTTTTTTCCAAGTTGGCTCCATATGAAATGGCAGTGGCAATTATTGTCTGAATAAAATAAAGAATATGTAAAACAAACTCCACTGGGGTTTTTTGGTGTTTTGTTTTATAGTGTTGGGGATTAAACTAGGGCCTCATGCATGCTAGGCAAGCACTCTACAGTGGAGCTACACTCCCCAACCCAAACTCCACCGCTTTTAATAATTCCTGCTTGTCAACCTTATTAATGCTGAATTGTCCAACTATGTACTTTACTTACCACAATTACTTCTATAGGAATAGGGATTGGGATTTTGTGTTTAAATCGATCATTTAATTCCTTAACTGCCATACAGATGATGATGGTAAGTAATCCAGCAATGAAATCTGCAAGATTGGTATTACCAATGTTTTGGAAAATCTCAATCAGGGTCTGTAAAGAAAAAATAATTTTACATACTTCCTGTTGTACAGACCTGAGCACACAAAGTCAATTCTTCCATGAATCCTTCCATATGAAAAATCATATCCACATCAAACAACATGTAAGAGTTTAATGTCAAATCATAAAAATGTGTTGGTTAATGCAGAGACTATTAAGCATTTGTAGTCCCTGCACTGTATAATATGTATACAAAGCCACTACTGATGGTTTACATGGAGAGATAAAACTATGGCTGATTTGCTTTTCTGTATTTTTATAACAAAAATGAAGAGCTTTTCAAAGAAAGAAGGCATAATATGTTGTCTTGTACTTGCATAAAAGCTTTAAAAGCTTATATCTTTTTTCATTTTCTTATGGAGTGGGGTGTGGTACCAGGAATAGAATTCAGGACCTTGTACTTACCAGACAGGCACTACACCATTGAGCTATATCATTAGCTAGAAATTAATATCTTAAAATGGCTTTCATAGATGCTATTAAAATGGCCTTTCAGGGGCTGGGGATTTACCTCAGCGGCACAGCGCCTGCCTGGCAAGTGCAAGGTCATGAGTTCAATTCTCAGTACAGGAAAAAAACAAAAAACAAAACAAAACAAAAAAATGGCCTTTCACCATTTCGGTAGGGTGTTGTTGAAACTAAAACCTGACAAACCGAAAGGTTTTCATTGTTTTTTTGGGCTGGATTAGCCACCATCTTAACTAATGTTCTTCCCTGTATCTGAATGATACATGTAAGATAAGAACTCATCAAATATTTCATATGTAGATAATATAGATAGAAGGGCACTGATCCATTCTTTGTGGCAAAGAAAAACTATTAAATTGACAACTAGGCCAAATACAAATCTTTAAATTAATTTGGACTAACATAATAACTAAAAGTAATTCTTTCCAAGTGGGCAAAGAAGCCAGCTCAAGAGGAGCTGGTTTTGTTTTGTAAATATGATATTTCCAGGAACAAAGGGTGTTCATCAAAGACACTGGCAAGGGGGAAATCCTAGGGAAGAACACTAATCGTTGATATAGTACAGTTTTAACCTCTGTCCTGTAAAGTCACAACTGAAGAAGGTGGACTGCAGGTCTTTGAGATAAGTGATCTCCTAGTGAAGATTGCTTTTCTTAAAAAGCATAAAGGAATGAAGCATCTTACAGTTTATAATATGTATCAAATTTATTTTTAACAATAAGTAAAATCCTTAACATAATTATAGTGACAATCTGGTAACAACTGTATAATGAGCATTAAATAATCTAGAAGTCATTTCTTGGCAACCTTAATTCTCTGAACATATTCAGAAGTAAGCAAATGGGGGGATACTGTGCAAGCACAATGAATCCCCCCAAGTGCTTGAACATTTCATTTGTAGGGAGCCTCTTGCACTTTCACTCAAAGTGTAGTTTTTCTCTTACTTTATACCCAATACTAACAAGTTAACTTTGTCTGTTTTCCAGTCACTGACAGCTGTTAGATGCAGATACACTGACAGGAACAAGAGAAAAAAGGTGATGGCCAGGTGTAAAAGAAAATGAGAAAACTGCCACAAGAAGACACAATAGGGGGCTGGAGATTTAGCTCAGCAGCACAGCACCTGCCTGGTAAGGTCGTGAGTTCGATTCCTGGTACCGGGAAAAAAAAAAAGAAAAAAAAAGACACAATAGCAGAATTTAGGTCATCTAACACTTGAGCACACAATCCTACTACCTACCTCAGAGGCTGAAGGTTGCCATTGCTTTGGGTCCCTTTATGTAATCAATTTTTCTAAGGAGGACCCTCATTTATTTATGAGCTACATATAATATTTTGATTAATTAAAGGGTTACTTTCTGGCTCGATATGGAAAAAAAACTATCAAAAACTTTAAAAAGACATTAGGGGTAATTCCAATCATAAAAAAATTTCACTTTACATAAATCACTACACGATTCCCATTTAATCCATGAGAGTCCCTTAGACTTTTGAATTAAAAGCTGCAAAAATACCAGTTTATGCTACACAGTTGCATTAAGCAATGCATATGGGTATATGTGTCAGTTATCTATATACAGAATAATCACGGGGTTTCTTATGAAAGTTCTATGTAGAAGGTTTAATGTATGTAGAAATAAAACAATTATATAAACTGAAATATGTAGTACTCAAAGATAAGACTCTAAGAATACAATAAACAGTAACTCCAACTTAATTTACTATCAAAATAGTAAAATATGAATAACATGATTCTGTATTACAGTTTAGTATTTTAAACATAGTTCCATTCATGATAATGAGGTTTTCAAGTAATGAATAATACTTTATTGTATTTTCTATTATGTTGGGAGAATTTCACCATCATTTTTTTTTTTTTTCACCATCATTTTATTTAGATAACTGTTCTTTTTTTTCTCTAGTATTTTATTATAGCCATTTTCAAGCATACAGCAAAGTTTAAAGAATTGTGCAATAAACTTCACTATACCATTATCTGAACTCAAATATTTACCTTTTACTGTAGTTGCTTTATCATATATCTATGTCTTAGGTAATTATTTCTGTCCAGTGTTACCTAGGTATATGATGCCATAAAGAAAAAATTGTGCCCAGTATTGTACAAAGTGTGATCAAAACATATGGTAAATGTTTAAATTAAAAATGTTTACAATAATGACATATCGCCACTAACTCCCCTCAAAATACCCCCTCCCTCACTTTAAACATACTTATCCCATCATTCTTGGGGCTTTCTGAAGCAGTTCTGCAAGTCCTTTTTCATGAATATCTTTAGGAGACATGACCGAAAATACAGTGAATGCTGCTGCTGAGTCCATCCAACCTAGGGGCAGCCTCATGAACACACTGTGGTGTGTCCTCACCCACCTCATTCACTGGATCTGGCACCATGTGACTTCTGGCTCTTCCCCAAAGTCAAAATGACCATGAAAGGTAAAAGTTTTAAATCAGTTCTGGACATCGAGGCAGCCACAGTAACACAACTAGTGACACTTGTAAAAGAAGACTTCCAGAATGCTTTAGAAAGTGGCAAGAATGATGGGATAGTGTTCAACATGAGTGGCAATATTTTGCCCGGGATTAATGCCAACATGCCCTTTACTGTAATTTTTTTAAAATTTAAACATTCATTGGATATTTCAAGCATACCTCATATACGAGGAAATTTACTGGTTAGCTTTTGGAGCTGAATTTATTTTAGTTTATCTTGTCTCCACAAAGATAACAAACAAATATATATTATATATATATATATCTCACCTCTTAATGTGGTATTTTCTTAAACTGGTGTAAATTTAACATATCAAACTAAGTTCAGAGCTATAAGGCTGACCAAGCTAAGCTTCAAAATGCTCACTTTTGGGCAGAACTTTTTAGTGCAGTCTTTTTGCTCCTTTGGGGAAGAAATGGAGCAGGCTGCATCAGTTTAGAAGCCAAGAAAATAGGGCCCCCTTTGTCTATTGAGACAAACCACTGAAGTGAACTGCAGGAAAACAATCTCTCTTAAGAGAATTGTGGCATTTGTTTAAATAATTGAGTACTACATGGTAGCATCCAGAGTATTACAGTACTAATTTTAAGTTGCTGCCAATATGCTGTCATTCTTTCTTCTGTATATTAAACCCAGCATCTCTGGCATTTGTTTATTTGTCAGATTTTTGTTTGTTTGTTTGTTTGTTTGTTTGTTTTGGTACTGGGAATCAAACGCAAGACTTTGAGCTTGCCAGGCAAGCGCTTGTGCCACTGAGCTATATCCCCAGCCCCTCTGGCATTTGTGAATTAAAGTTTTCTTTCTTTCATGCTTAATACTGTAGTTTCTCCTGCAATACTTTGTATTCATTACTTCCATTCATCTGTACCTCTTTGGAGGAATGGGTTAGGACGAACCAAAGTACAGCCATAAAACAAAAATAATGTTCTAAGTTATAAACGATGTTGTAATAAATTAACTACATTCCAGACAAAATAGTTTACAATCTTTCTTGGAGGAGTTCACCACTGATCTCATTTATTGAAGGATTCTTTCATTAATGATCATAACAGTAATGCCATACACAAAACTCTTTCCGGGATCAACTGGCCCTTCCAACCCTTATGCAATCATTTATAGAACAGCCCATTCTTTCTTTTCAGAACAGGAAATTTATATTTACTACCACTCAGAGATAATTGAAATACCTTTATAGAACTTGGCTGGCTTGTGAGGAATTCCTTCCAAAATTCTAGGAGAGTAGGTTCATCATGAAAACAAATGTACCACTCTTGCAGTACAAGTTATTGATAGTGACGGAAGCTTGGGGTGGAGACAGTAGGCATGGGAACCTGTACTTTCTGCCCAATTTTTCCATGAGCCTAAAACCTCTCTAAGAAAATTAAGTGCACTAAAAAAGCTGATGGCACAGGGTAGATGGAGACCTGAAGAATAGTATTCAACAGGAAATAAATCACATAATGATTGGTTTAGAAAGCACTCGATCTGGTGGTTCTTGGTCTCTTCTGTGCCTGTCAAATCTGAATCATTTGCAGCACATTTCTTCTTAAACACAGTCTGAGCAGACCAGAAGAACTATTTTCCCTGTTCTGCGGAGGTCCAGCAATAGCTAGTGTCCCAGACAAGTATTGGTCCAGACCTCCTATGATCTGAGTAGCTGCAGGCCTAGCAATGTTTGCACAAGGAGGAGAGCACACTTAGGAATGTGATGAGGGGGTTGAACAGGGAGAAAACAGTGCTGGCACATGAGTAGCTCTTCAATAAGTATTTATTAACTAGGTGAACTGAGTGAATAAAAATGAAAGAATAAATGGACAGTTCATGGAGAAGGTATGAATGCAAGTAAAAGCAAGATGTGTCAGGGGCTACAAAACTGACTACTCCTGTCAGCATAAGGAAGTCTGAAGCTCTCGAAAAGAACTGAGGAGTTGGTAAGAGAGAAAAGCAATAATGACTGAAATAATGTTGAATCAAAAAATGCCTGTGTAATGTGTTCTGGGTCTCTGGGAAGTAAATAGGAAGCTCATGAGAGCTACACGCATGGTAATAAAAATAATAGCAGTAAACCGAGTTCTTACCATGTGCCATCAATTGTGCTTAGTGATTGACATAAGTTTTCTCTTTTTAGTCCTCACAACTCCAAAAAGTAGCTGCAATTACTAATCCTATTTTATAGCTGAGGACACAAGGGCTTAGGGATACTTGCTGCAACATGCCCAAGGTCACAAGGTAGTAGGTGGTGGAACCAAGACTAAATCAAATCTGTTGAAGTCAAAAATCAGTCCATATCTTAATCGCTATGTTACTCTCCTCATCTATTTCCATTGCTTCCAGCAGTACCTGGCCTGTAGTAGGCACACAGCGATTTTTATTGAATGGATGGAGTAATGTGGACTTATGCCACCATGAAGAAACAGCAAATTTCTGACAGTTGCACTCTTTGCTATGTATGCATGGCCTTCCATTGTTTTAGAAGCTAATAGGTGAGTAATTAAAGGGCTCAAGCTCCATTCTTAATGTTGGTGTATTGTATGTTTGTTTTTGAGACAGGGTCTCACTATGTAGTTCAAACTGGCCTTGAACTTACTATGGAGCCCAGGCTGGCTTTGAACTCAAAGTGATCCTTCTGCCTCATCCTCCTGAGTGCTGGGTTTGCAGTTGTGTGCTACCATGCCCAGCGAGTGTCTTATTCTTTTAAGCATCATTCCCCCTAAGCTAAAGCGACATCATGTTACTATTATCACCATTTTTCAGGAGTCAGTAACACACTTCATCTAGGACATATTTAGATCCAAGAACTCCTTTGAATCGAATTAGTGTGTTCTATGGCCTTCTTTTGCATCTCTTCTGCATGTTGAATCATCTCTGAATCTAATGTTCCTCATCATTTATAATTGCAGAGATGTGTACATTATACATTTTATGGACCCTTTTAATTAGAAAGGGCTTGAGAAATACATGCCCAAGTATTTCTTTTTATAAACAAAAAAGAAAGAAAAGAAGGCCTAAAATAATAACTTCAGAATAATAACTTTTTTAGTACTTGCTATGTGCCAGCCCCTGGACAAACAGTTCTCATCTGTTCTTGTTTAACAATCCAGTGATTGTTGAAGTAGTTGCTATTAGCAACCCTATTCTGCAGAGCGGGAAACTGAGGCATGGTGATTTGCTCCAACAGCTAGGATATAGTACAATCAGAATTTCAATCCAGGTCCACCGAACTCTAAAGCTGAAATTCCAGCCACTACCCTACACAGTGTATCCAAGGTCATTTAGCTGATCAGAGACAAAGCCAAGACTAAGGTCATGTCTGTTGCATCCTAGACCTACCTTTACTCCATTACATCACTTTGTTTTTATTCATTTTTTAAGTGCAGTAACATTTCTGAAACCACTTTGACCAGCTGAGGACAATGATTTGCAAAATCTGCCTTCTTCCATGTTACTCCTGATTCTACTGCTTCTTTCAGAGAAAAATGTTTTCACTGGCTCCCAAAGTGTGCCTGGGGAACATAGACTCACCAGGCACAAGCTTAAGAGAGAAAGAACACCGCCCCAGCTCTGGAATAAGAAGCAACACTTACATAGATAATGGAGAGGACTCCATTGTAGTTTTTGGTAGAAACGTTGAGGACGATCTTTAGCTGTGACACCAGCACTTGGAAGGCAGCAGCTGTTGTGAATCCACCAACCAGAGGATCTGCCAAGTACCTTACTATGAATCCAATCTGCAGACTTCCAAACACAAGCTAGGATAAGGAGGAGGGGAAAAAAACTAAATTTTTGCATGAGAGAAAAGCTAACTCTGGTTATGTTGATGAATTAAGCTTAATACCAGTTAAAGCACTAACGACTGGTTTGCAGCACAAAAATACTTGAAAAATCTGTATTTCTTCATATTCTGCTTCTTCTCTCCTTTCCACCACTTTAAAATTCAAAAGCAAAAATAATGTCGCTTATTTCTGTGACTTCCCTGCTTTCATCCTCAATTGAATCATTCATGTTCATCTGTCTTTTTTCTCCTTTCTCTCTCTGACTTCTTTGATAAGTGAACCTAGATGTGTGAGATCTTGCAGACTCTTTTTAGTATCTTTTTTTTTTGGTACTAGGAATCGAACTCAGGACCTTGCACCTACCAGGCAGAAGCTCGTGCTACTGAACTACATCCCTGACCCTCTTTTTAGTATCTGATCTAAAATAATCTAAGTTAGAAAATAATTGGAGTTCAGGAAATTAACTTGTTTTGCATTTATGTAAACTTCCAAGTCCATGTGTTTTTTTTTTCAAGTCCATGTGTTTTAAATTAATTATTTCAAATAAAAATCACACCTATCTATATTTTAGTGTAAGTCTATTACCTGTATAATTCCAACCAAAAGAGTAAGAGTGCTTGCAATTAATACTCTTTCTGCATCTCTGGCCTCGGTGTTTATGATGGTATCTACCATGGTTGTATTCGGTGCACTTCCGTTACTGCTGGGAGTGACAAAGTGTTCATCAGGCGCCATGCTTAGAACAACAGATCCCACCATTAAACTGACCACAGGGAAAGGTCCTGAGGAAAAAAATCAGTGCATCAATTATTTCTACTTTCTGTGTGACTCCCATGTGCAAGAGGGGTGGAAGTAGGGGTGGGAGTTGTCTTCAGAGGTTTCCTGGCAGAGACAGCATGTACGTTTTTATTCCATATAATCTCATTCATTCCCTGGAGCACCTAATATCCTGTTCTCTGCGTCTAAGTACCTTCATGGGTCCAAGTTAACAAAGGGAGTGCGCAATTTCTCTTTGTTTCTTCGAAAGGAAAATGATTATTTCATGTCAAAGGCCAATCTGTAAGATCTATGCTTTTGAAAGTTCTAATGTCTTCCAGCAACTGCTCTGTCTGCTACTGATGTTTCTACTGCTGCCGCGGCTGCGGATGCCGCCGCCGTTGCTGCTGCTGCTGCTGCTGCTGATCCTACTATACTTTGACCATGGAAGGGTTTATGGTTAGGAAGACTTAGTCCTACTAACCTGAAATGTCTCAATGTGGAGAACACCAAAGAGAAAAATCAGCTACTATTTTTCTCGCCTAGTCAGGAATTTGATATTGATTGCTCTCCAAGATTAAGAAGTTCTTTCTTTCAATAGCCCCTTTCTGATTTCCTACAAGCAAGGCTGAGAGCTAGATACTGGAAGAGATAAAGTGAGGCAGGGGGACACGACTAAGGATAGAGTGGATGATTGTATTTGTTTTAAGGTCATCCAGATAGACATGTGTAGTTGATAAATGGATGTAGAAACAAAATTACCTCTGATACAAATGTCAAATTGGCACAAAATAGCATTAAAATATTCATTCACTAGCACCTTTAGCAAAAGAGGACTTAAAATTTAGGAATGGTAGGAAAACCGAGCTTTTGAGCCATGCCAAGAGGCTACACTTGGTTTCTAAATGGTTTTGGCAAGATTTTGCCAGTCTTCAAATATGAGTGATTAAGTATATACCCTTAGCTAGGCACAGTGACACATAGGTATAAATCCCAGTTACTTTTGAGGGGGCAGGAGTACAAATTCAAGGCCAGCCTGAACAACTTAGCAAGACTTTGTCTAAAAATAAAAATAAAAAGGGTTGAGGATGCAGCTCAGTGGTAGAGCACACATGGGTTTGATCTCTAGTGACACACATGAGTGCATGCACACACACACACACACACACACACACAAAGATCTACTCAGTGAACTAATGACTATGTATTTGATGAACATAATCCAGTAAATGCTAAATTAATCTAGTAAAATGGTGCATCAAAAGACCTTGTGAAGATTTTTTTCTGTCACTTTCTATTTTGGAAAAGAACACTTTCTAATATGGAATCAAGTTTATTAGGTTTTTAAAAATCACTTATGCTAAAATCTGAAGGTAAGCTTTATTTTGTAGTCTTTCAGGTTTGTTCTCTTCATTAAAGCAAAGACCTATACAAAGCTAACTACTGTCACTAAATAGGAAAAGTAGACAAAGCTGCAGCCTGATTTGCCTGGAAAACATCAATAAAGCAATGGAGGCATGCTATACATAATGTAGCCAAACACTTTCAACATGAGCAAATAGAATAGTAAAATATGCTTATAATTACCAACTGAGATGTGCCTTGATGTTCCAAAGATAAAATATGTCAGGATAGGAAAAAAGGCAGAGTAGAGACCATATTGAACAGGAACTGCAGCTAATAGAGCATATGCCATTCCTGAAAGTACATAAAAAATGATTAGGATCACAAACAAAAGCTTTGTTTTATTTATACTGCGCAAAGAAAAACCTTCTCAGTCCATTCTTACATCTGGGGGACTGAGCAGCTTCATTGAAGATAACAGTATGTAATGTAGCAACCATCATTAATTCTTATCATTTTTTTTTTTTTTTTTTTTTTTTTTTTTTTTTTTTTTTTTTTTTTTTTTTGTCTTTTTGAGACAGGGTCTTGCTATGCAGTTCAGGCTGGCCTTGAGCTCACTTTGTAGCCCAGGCTGGTCTTGAACTTGCAACAATCCTCCTGCCTCAGCCTCCCGAGTGCTGGAATTACAGGCGTGCACCCGGCTTTTTAGTTTTGTTGGTTTTGGTTTTGTCTTCATTGTTGTTTTGTTAGTTTTTTTTTTTTCTTTAAAAGAAAAAAAAAGAAAAAACTTCTCTTGAATACTCTTGGTTTGTGGATTCCACATATCAGTTTGAATTGATTGATTTCCTTATCTTACATATAGATGGTAGCTATGCTAGTGTGAAGACTACAACTAAGTCAATTGGGATATAGATTGCGTGGCTGTCTGTTGCCTACATTGATCAGTAAACTAGTCGTCAACTGATTACATCAGCGATTAAAACAATCAAGCCAGTAGTTGATTAGAAACTTAGTCAATTCAGTCCAAAAGCTCAGACCAGATTTGTACATGCAGAGTTTGGTCTGAATGCAGTGTTCTTTTGTGTTCTGAGACTCTAAGTCATTTTTGCACTTGCTCTTTCACCTTTCCTGTTGAGGAAGAGAAGCTAGTACACAGCAAGAAAAAATATGACAAATGTACTTAGCAGCAGGCAAGATAACTCTCTGCCCTGGTGGAAACCAGTTCTGCCAGTGGGCTACCCTGGCATCCTCTGGGCCCCGAATGTCAGGTTCAAAGCAATCAGCATTTTGGTCTACTCATACATAGGTGCTGGGAGGGGATAATGACATTTTTTTTGCTTTGGTTAAATACTTAGGTGGTCAACACGTCTTAGCCCATCTTACTTCCTCACACTTCATTCTCAGTGAGAGAAAATCAAGCCTTTTAACACTTGTGTCATTAATAAAGGACTATATTTAAAACAATCTTTAACAATGGTAACCCAATGACTTGGCCTACAGGCATTCAAAATTATTTCTTGAATGAATATCCTCAAATAAGGAAGTAGTTGGCTAAATTATATGTCATACCTTGTAACTCTATGCTGCTGATTTTTCTTGGTTTATGTAATTCTGTGAAATGCAATTAATGTGACAGTAACATGGACAGAGGTGAAGTAAAATCTTTTAAAGTAAAACTATAAAGATTAAAACGTAATCAGTATTCATGTTCCCATTTTTCTAAACGTGTGTGCCGTACACATTTAAAAATTTGGGAAGATTTTTAACATAATATGAAGTAATTCAGATGCCCAAAAAGACAATGAATAATAGAGTGAACACCCATGTACCCACAATCCAGCTTAAGAACTTATCATCAGTGCAGTTGAAATTCTCTGTATTCTTTCTCCTTTCTCCTCTCTTCCCTCCCTCTGCCTCCACAATCCTGAATTTATTCCCAGACACTTTGTATTCTCTTATATAGATCTGCATCTATGTATATAGTAGGATATTTACTAAAATATGAATGGATTATATGGTAAAATCAGAGGAGATTTCTAGTTTGTAGAGAAGGTATTTTTCTCATGTTCCTTATATGTGTTTCCTAGTTTTTACAATGAACATTCATTCATTCAAAAATCTATTGATTTTGCACCAACCATGTGTCAGGTACTGTTAAAGTCTCTTCCCCGATAGAATTTGCATTCTAGATAATATGCAGCATAGGTCCAATTGTTTTAATATTCAAATTACAGCAAGGAATTGCAATAATCAGTAGTCCCAGAAACATGGGATAGAACAAAATGCTGATTCCACAAAGGGAAAACAAGAAAAGAAGGAGCAGCGAATAAAAGCACAGCCTGTTTCCTACGGACACTTTTCAAGTCCTTCCCAAACTCCCATTTCCCACAACAGGGCCCTGCAGTCCTTCACGTGCCTGGAAGATGGAGACGTTTTCAGATTTCATGTGGACTATTTAGCGACAACTGCTATTTACATGTGTTATAATAATCTTTATTATAAAGGAACTTGATATGACTATTTTGAAATCACAGCTTGTAAAGAAACGCAAACCACTGACTTAAATTGTGGCTTCTCAGTGTTGGTGTCCGTCAGGTTTAGGATAGGCCATGCACTGATAAAGCAGGTGCTACCAGACGTCTGAAAACATCCACCAGGCCAAGCCTCACCGAGCGAGGACACAGCGAGAAGATGGGCCCTCACCAGAACCTACGTCTTCGGGACTTCTTATCCTCAAGAACTATGAGAAATAAATTTCTACTGTGTATTACATAAATAAGTAAATACATGTCAGAGTTAGTAGATGACTGGCTTCACATTATCTGTGAGTAAAGAGGGAACTAGAAGGGTTACATGGACCTTTTGTTGCCCTAATAGGCATTTTTTATAACAAAAATTTTTAAAAGACCCCATTTTCCTTAGAAACTCTGGCTTCCTGGAAACCTGAGCCTGTCATCTCCAGTGAGTTTGTGATTAGGTCACGGAGCTCATCAGCCCTGAAAATGCACCATGAAGTCTATGGAATTTCACAAATACTGTCTTGATTCTGGCCCTCTCCCAGTCTGTCTCTGTCTCTCTCTGTCTCTGTCTCACTCTTTCCTTTTTTCCCTGCCTCTCTTCCTCCTTGCTTCATTCCTTCCTTCCTTTTCTGTGGCCAAACTCAAACTCCAACCTGGCAGAGCACAAACATCCACCTTTCCATGACGGCCTCCAAGGAGCTGAACAAACTGGACCGGAGGCACTAGCCTCGGACTTACAGGTCTGCTGTAACATTGGTGATCTCGAGGCTCATGCAGGTCCTCAGTACTGCCTGGTGAGCCTGTCAGATTTCCCCAGGGGGTGTGCTTCTCTTCTCTCTCACACAGCTATTCAGACCTCCCCTTATCTCCTCAAACTGCCCATCCTCTTCTCTACCAACTCCAAGTCAAGAGGCAGTTCTTAAACTTCACTGAAAACAGAATCCATGAGATGTGTTCCCAGGTGGCTTTTTATCAAAAGCCCAAGCCTCTTTTTTTTTTTTTTTTTTTTTTTTTTGGTTGTTTTGGTTTTTCTCCGGTACCGGGAACTGAACTCACGACCTTGCGCTTGCCAGGCAGGCGCTTTGCCGCTGAGCTAAATTCCCAGCCCCAAAAGCCCAAGCCTCTGCATCTACACCATTTGAGCTGTCCGTCTTCCCCTGAAAACGGAGGGAATCTCTTTCTTGTCCCTCCTCTCCCGCCCCCCCCCCGTACCGGGAATTGAACTCACAACATCACACTTGCCAGGCAGGCGCTGCGCCGCTGAGCTAAATCCCCAGCCCCTTCTCTTTCTTGTCTTTAAGGAGTAATCCTTCCACTTCTGTCCTGGAACCCCTCCGAGCCTGACTCTTTTCTTGATTTTGCTTCTAGAAGTTTCTCTCCTCTGCCTCTTGGACCACAACTCTCTTTCTGCTAAGTCATTCCTACCAGTTCACAACATGCTCAAGCAGCTCCAGTTAAAAGAAAAAGAAATCCTCCATCAGTCCACCTTCATCCTTTATCCTTCCAAGTCACAGCAAGTCACAGCAAAGTTTCTTAATTATAGTCTATGTTCCTTTACATTGTCTACCCTCTGTTTTTCTTGTGCACTGCTCTCCTTGCTTCATTTCCCTCATTTCTCTCATTGTTCTTTTTCTCCAACTTCCTGAGCCCAATTTCTGAGGCTCCTCATTTCTCTGCTCAAGTGCACCAGCCTTCTTGCCTTCCCCATCTGCCCCTCCTGCCTAGCATCCCATTCCCTTAAACATCACCTCAACACTGGGCCCTGCCTGCTCTGCTTGACCTTCTCAAGAGTAGTGGCTCCAACGTCTCCGCTTGGGAGTTCCACTTAAATGTCTCACATACACCTTAAACCTCACACGTCCAAAGGGAAACCCCAATTTTCCATCCCAAATCCCTTTGGCAGCCGGTCTTGGCCTCTGTAGTACATGACGTCATCTTCTACCCAGTTGCACAAGCCAGCAACCTTAGAGTTGTCTGTGATTTTCATTCGCAGCATCAGAATCTATTGGTGATTCTCCCTGCAAAATATACTGCAAATCCTGCAGATCTCTGCATGTCCTGCCTGATCTGCTCCACACTGTCCTCAGGGCTGGGTTTCAGGTGAGGGAGGGAGACGCCTAGAGGCTCCCACAGAGGGAGTGCCTCCTTTACTTCACCTGAACAAACCAGCCTTGCCTAACCTTATCTCTTCCTTACCTGCCCTCCCCCTGTGCTCCACACCCACCAGAATTCTTCCTGCTCCTCCCTGGAAAGTGCTATGCACTTCTTGTCCCCAGGGCCGCTGCACCTTTACCTGGCCCACTCTTCTTTCTGCTCATTACATGACTGTCTCATCACTCTGTCTAAATTTCACCTCCTCAGCACAGCCTTCCTTGACTCTTGTATCTAAACGGACCTTCTCCCCAAATTAATCCCCACAATGGTATATTTAACCTACTGCCATGAATATCACAATCTACAACCATTTTTCTATGTACATACTTATTTAATTCCTACCTCTACCACTAGAAATGAGCTACATGAGCTCAATACTATACCTGTCCCAGGTAGTAAGTCTCTAAATCACCATGGCTAAATACCTAGCACACAAAATTATCTATAAATATTTATGACACAAACAAATGATAAACAAATGTATGAGTGAGCTGGATTAACCTCCCAGAAATTCACCATTCAAAGATAACTATAGAAGGGCTGGGGATTTAGCTTAGCGGCAAAGCACCTGCCTGGCAAGTGCAAGGTCGTGAGTTCGGTTCCCGGTACCAGAGAAAAACCCAAAAAAAAAACCAAAAAAAAAAAAACAAAGATAACTGTAGAGATAGTATGGAACAACATAATAGCTGTAAAGTAAGGAACTACATACAATGTAGAGATTAAGATCGTAGGAATTAGACTCTAGGTTCAAATCCCAGCCTGACCACTTATGAGCTTCATGACTTAGGCAAGATTTAATAGATTTCCAATCTATTGAAAGAGAATACTAGAACTTACCTTACAGGGATGATGTGAAGATTAAAGGAAATGCCTGGCCAAAACCCTTTGCATAGCATCGGATACACGCTAAGCAAAATTAATCCTAATCTACTTGTCTATGAAAAGCTGGGAGACAGAGCTGGAAATACAATTTTCCACATATACCTTCAGTTCTCTTTGCTAAATATTCGTGGAGCTATTGACTGTATGCCAATCTCTATGCTAGGTTACCAAACGTGAACCAGGAACATGCAGAGAGCGTAGCTGTGTTCTGCGCCTTCAGGATTGAGAACATGCACCATCCTATGGGCCACAGAACAGCCTTGTTCTCTGTGGGAAGCCACCTGGCCTGCTCTGAGCTCACCAGCCAGATTTCAGCTCACCACATTGCTCAACATTTATTACTAACTCCTGAGATAGTCTGCTTTCAAGTCATCTTCTGCACACATCCACACCCTCGCTGCCTCGCATCACTTGGGAAACTCAGACTTAACCTTCAGGGAAGCAGCTTTGACAGCTCAACAACCTTCCCAGTCCCCAAAGACTGGGCTGAGCACAACTCACTGCCACTCCTTTCGCAGGCGTCCTTTGTGGGCATCTATTTCTCCACCAGACCATGAGGCTTTTGACAGTAGGTGATGCATTGTAATTCTGCCAGTATACCTAGTATCTGGCACATACTAGGTACTCCATAAAATTGCAGTAAATAAGTAAGACTTCTATTTCCATAGAAGAAAGTTTGGGCAATAGGGGAGCGGGTTTCAGTGCAGAATCAAGAGAGTGAGGATGAGGGACAGAAGAGAATGGCCATCCTGCTACACACCAGCTATGTAACAGATTTCTAAAATGCTCACAGAAATATTATGGAATAAATCCAGTTTCCAAACAAACCCATGTTGGGATATTTTCTTAGAAGATTAAAGTAAGAGGATGAATAAGAGAGGAGGCAAAAAAAAAAATACTAATATATAGTCTAGCTATTTTTTCCACTTTCTCTTAAACAAATTTCACATTGCAGGTCAAAATCAATGTGTAAAATGTGAATAATTTAATAACCTGAAATAATCATTTGTATGTGTATGTTTGTGTGTGTGTGTGTGTGTGTGTGTGTGTGTGTGTGTATACCAAGAATTGAACTCAGGACCTTGCATTTGCCAGGCAGCTACTACGTTGCTGAGCTATATCCCCAGCCCCTGAAATAATCATTTTTTAAAAATATAAGCTGAATAGCCATGCATAGTGACACACCTTAGAGGCCAGTTACTTGGGAGACTGAAGCAGGTGAGTCACAAGTTCAAGGCCAGCCTGGGCAACTTTGTGAGACTCTGCCTGAAGATAAAATTTTAAAAAGGCTTGAGATGTAGCTCTGTGGCAGAGTGTTTGCTTAGCATGCATGAGGCCCTGGGTTCAGTTCAACCCCCAGAATTGAAAAAAATAAAATAAAATAAAAGCAAAACAGAATAGAAAATCAGAATGCATGATTTGTAGTAAGGATAACTTTAGCTACGAGCACACAGATCATGATGAAGCATGTATTTCTTACTGTGCATCATGGCCAATCAATTCAGGATGCCACTGCTTGGTATATGCCTCTAGGCTGGAGCCACACAGTTAGAGAAGCAGCAGCATTTCCCAGCAAGAGAACTCCACAGAAGAGGAGAAAAGAAATGTACTCCTCCACCAAGGGGCTCCAGTGGGAAGATGAAAGTTGTGAAGGGTGAGCAGGCACTGGAACAGAGCCATGGTAGCAGGAGGAGGCACTAGGAACTGCTGCAGGAGACTGTAACTCTCAATCACCTGAGCCGGTCCACCAAACCCTTACCTTGCAGGGTACCCACTAGCCCGGTACTAACTCCGGAAATGATGTCACTGAGCAGCCAGTCCTTGATTCGGTACTTGGGGAGCCAGTCCAGCACCGGCAGGAGACTCTTCACCACACCAAAGGCTCGCTTTCTTGAACAACTATCAAAAGATGAGAATAGTGGGTACCAACCTAATTGTAGTCATAACCCATTGTAGATCACAAAGCTATGAACTGAACTCTGCTGATGTTTATAATTATTTAGAACAAGGATAAGAATGTCATGGAAAATACTAATGCTTTTGCAAAGAATTGTATCTATCCTTTTAAATGCATTGTACTAGGAAACACAGGATTAAGTGTCCCCGCCCCTCGCCTACCTTTTTAATCCTCAGAGAAAATATCCCTACACAAGAACTCATTTTCTGGTCCAGCCAGAGAATGATCAATGTGGAGTCTCTATGTGGAGATTAATTTACAGACTTCTAACCCGGGCACCACCTTATTCTTCTTAAAGAAAAATAAACACAGTGTATATTTTGGCAATACAAGCTTGGAGGAGCCAGTGTTGACAAAAATCTTAACACGATGAATGTATACCTTGTGCTTTGCTACTTAGCAATTTTAAATTCAACAACCAAAGATAAAAGAAAAATATCAACAATAGGTGGACATTATTTAACTTATGCCATTTATGAGACATTTAGAAATTTTAATGATGATTCACTTTTTGATATTAAGGAATTGTTTTTAGGAGGATAGAAGAATGTGGTTGTATTTTTAAAAGAGTCCTTACACATAAAGGCATACACAGCCCTTATCTAGGAGCTTTGCGTTTGTGTATCCAACCAACCACAGGTCATAAATAATCAGGAAAATGTGTCCATACTGAACATGTACAAATTTGTTTCTTGTCCTTATTTCCTAGACAATATAACAATTATTTACACAGCACTTACACTGTATTTATTAGGTACTACAAGTAATGTAAAGATGGCTTAAACTGTACAGGAGGAAGCCAGGTGTGGAGGTACAAAAATGTAATGCCAGAACTCTGAGAGGCTGAGGCAGGAGGACTGCAAATTCAAGACCCATCTGGGCAATTTAGCAATCTAGTGAGACCTTGTCTCAAAGCAATGAATGAATGGGCTGGAGATATACCCGGATGTGAAAGCTTTGGGTTCAATCCCTTGTACTACTAACTAACTAAGTAAGTAAATAAATAAATAAGCCAATACAGGAGGATATGCACATATTAAATGCAAATTCTAAGCCATTTTATAAAAGCGACTTGAACTTCCTGGGCTTGGGTACCTGCGGGGGTCCTAGAACCGGTCCCTTTTGGATATGAGGAGAGGACAGTAACGGACAAAAAGATGCACAAGCGATTTGCTTCAAAATAATACTGAAGGCGGCAGGTGGGTGGCGACAGGTGAAAGGCGATTAACTGAGTTGATTACTGTTGAACTGCCTGAGGAGTAAAAACTTGAGGGAGTGTTCTTTATACTACTCTGTTTTGTATGCTTTAAATGTTGGGAATTAACAGGTTTAAAAAAAAAACAAAGAACATCCGGCAACTGGCTGACTGTCCTCTAAGTTCCCTGTGTTGCCGTACCTGTTCTGGGCGGCACTTTGGGCTTAGAGACGCGGTGGTCCTTCCTAGGGGGTCTCGTCGCCTGGGGCGCAGCACCTGGAGCACACCGGCTCCGGGCTTGCTCTGAATGGATCTCCAGCTGGTTGGCTCCAGAGTTTCATGGACTCCCGGCCAAGGGGTGGGTTTAGTCATCATTTTCTCTCCTTCCCTGAACTGGGGGTTGAACCCAAGGCCTTCGCACGGAGCTACATCTCCAGTAGTTCTTAAGTTTTGAGACAAGGCATCCTAAATTGCTAAATTGCTCAGACTGGGCTCGAACGTGCGCCCCTCTTGCCTCTTGTCCCAGGGCGCTAGGATTACAGGCATCACCGCAGCGGGCTCTGTCATCCTTCAGAGGAGCCCTTTTCTCGCTCCTGGCCCCAGCCTGGCCTTTGGAAGACGGCAACAGACAGCCACTGCGCTCCGGGCTTCAGCCAGCAGAGGAAACAGAGCCGGGGCTCCGGAGCCCGCTCTCCCCCACGGCTCGCTGTCCGGGACCGGAGTGGCCGTGCGTCCCGACCGGAGACCGGAGGGCCTCGCCCGGCCCCGGCGGGTCTCGGCCGCGCGGCTCGGCGCCCCCTCTCGCCCCGGCCCGCGCTACCTGCAGCTCCGGGCCAGGCTGTCCCGCAGCGTTTTGCGCTCCCGCAGGCGCCGCTCGTGCCGCTGCTGGAAGAGGAGCTCGTTGTACACCGGCCGCGACACCGCGTAGCTGTGCTCGGGGAGCGGCGCCTCCGACCCCGCGCCGGCTGCTGCCATGACCTGCGAGGAGCGAGGGGAGGGCGACGCCGGGGCCGTGAGCACCTGCGCGCCCCCTGCGGCGGC